TTACGTGGTGTAAATTGTACTTGTTTTTTTATTGTAAAGCATGTGTTCAAAATCTAACTTCTACTTTTGTGTGTAGTATTCTTGTGCAATATTAAATACTTATATAGCTAGTATCACTCCGTTTCATCGCTTACTTTTCATTATCTTCCTTATCATTTGCATTCATTGTATCACTATTCATGTTTCTATGAGTCAATCTCTAGTACAAAAAGTGAATTTCTACAAACCAATAATTCTCTTCACGTTTCATTAATCCATAGCTGATCCTCATTTTTCATCCATCAGCTTCGCTGCTTTTAAATTATGTCGATTTATACCTTTAGAATTGGCTGAATATCTGGTGTATTGACAGTGAAAACCAACTCTATGACGGGATAATATATAGTAAAGTAGATTTGAATGTATGTACACATAGAAACGTTTTAGCGCTTATTGTTAATATCAACTTGAATTCTACGCTTTTCATTTAAACTAAATTCTTCTTATCGTTGGGCGGCTCCAGTCTCAAGTGAATTCATATCTCGTGTACATGATTCGTTTTTATCATGTCTGCACAACTTACATAGCCACTAGTCCTCTACGTCGTTCACTTTTTGACCAACACTACCATCCTATCGTTAAGAAGTGCCAATTACCTTTAAACATTTCCGAACTAGTGATTAAATGACCGTTTTCTCCCGCTGAAGAAATTATTGTATATTCATTATGTGCACTTTCACTTCTTTATAGGAGAGAGCGAGTACGGAACTTGCTAAAACCTTCACCTGAGACCACGCTAAACGATAGCCTTTCGCTTGCCCTTTGGTTTGCAGCTCGTGGATGTGGGCGTCTTATTTGTAATCAAAATTGCCTCTCTGACTCCCAGTGTTCCACCTACAGATCTCCTGCGTGGGTTAGTGTCTTATCCAGTTCGCTTCACTTTTACTAACAAATTTAATTACTGTCTGACCGGATTCTGGTAATTTAGTCATTCGATGTCAGTAAATAATTTTGGAAAATCCGCACAAAAGTGCGATTTAAGCTTATTCTGATGTCCCAGCTATACGGCAGACTAACTTTGAGGAGAATCTATTTTGCGATATGGGCCATTTTTCATGACCATAATCGTTTAAAAAGGATTAAATGCGGCCAGACCTTCCAGTGCATTCTTCCCCCGCTGCTATTACTAAGCTTGCCGTGATTACGTTGGTGATGCTTGTCTAATCGGGGTTATTCATTCTGTGGGCTACAAACTGAACCAATTTTTCCTAGTAGTTTTGGGAAGAACGTATCGGCATTACGAATGTTGGTGAACCATTTTTCAGTTTTGCATTTCACAAATATACTGGAGCTTGATTTTTTTTGCAATTATTCAAAGTAGTGATATGACACATCGGTAGGTCGTATCCAGTCATCAAGTTTTGAACGTACGGAAAAGGCCACTGAAGCTTTGCTTTCGCAAAGTTTCAGATGCTAAAACGGGTTGTCAGCATCAGATACTCTCTTACAGCTTAAAGCTTGTCAGATGTGCAACACTTATCGTTGTGATTCAACATGAACTTTGAAGGCATTTGGTTGACAGTTGGCTCATTATTGATGTTTGAATTGCCTACCATAACAGGGTTTTTCATTTACCTTTTTGACAATCTTACTGCGCCCTCAAGTTGAGGCGTATGCACTGCTTTATTTCGATGATATAAGTGTTTCTTCATTGGTGATTGCACAATACTTATGCGATGATTGCAATTAAAAAAAATAATTACTAAACAAAGCGTGAGCTTACATTAACTATAAGCCATTTTTAGTTTACGGTCTAAGTGGAATTTCAACTATCTCATCTCAACACCAGTACTTAGTAGAATGTTGAGCATACGAAAAGGGCAATCCGATTTCTCTTTAAATATTCTTATTTTAGTTTTATATTCATTTTTCAAATGGGTTGGAATTTGCATTTAAGAATAATCTGTTACTCTAGTCAGATCGTAGTGCTTCTGGTACCCTTATATTCATGTAACTATTGCTTGAGAGCACGGTTCGACTACTTTTGCTTATTGAAAGGCTTGATACTAAAACCCCGTAAATGAATGCACTGGGTACAGTTTCATTTTACTACCTATTCAAATGCTTTGGGGTATGCATTCGCAAAAACTATTGCAAGGACAGATGCTCAGCTAAAATTGAAAATTACAAATTATTAGCAAATTTCTAAATTTCTGTGTTGTGTTGATATCAATTTCACACTTGCAAGGCCATGGACCTTAGAACAGCAGTAAATAGACTCATAAATCGGTACTTCCTGTGTTTACGCACTTTAAAAAGTGCCCAAATTTGTCACTCGTTAGTTTGCTTCGATGTCAAGGTACAATTTAGCGATTAACTGCCAACTGTCTGAACGGAAGCAAATTGATGGATTTTATTTGACTTGAATTTCTAATCACTTGAAATGTCTTTTTGTGTAGATTATTGTATTCATTTCCTTTTCACACGCCCCTTGTGCGAGTTGAACAATTGCTTTTTTAAAATAGGACACTGTTGGTGTTTTTTTACTTCATTTAAGCCGAATGCCCAGTGGATTATTTTGCTCATTTCTGCCATACAGGTTGCCGTGATATGTATGTATTTTGACGTAATGGGTAATATGCTCTATAGTAACTCGCTTTGTCTATTTAGGTCTTGTGCATAAACGGTGGTGCTTAATTTTCCAGGACTGTAGAACATTCATAATAGTTAAAAGCAATGTGCTTCTAAGTTAAGATAATTTTACGGTTATTAATGTTCATAAATGCCGACTGGAAAGCGCCACACTGACTGAACTCTGCTCCCGATGAATTTGCAGTTGGAATAACACGTCTGGTTTATTAAGTTCAATACAGAAATTGCTTATAAGCCTCACCATGACTTTGACTTAAAATGTCGTGATCTGCACAACATTATTTTACACTCATCCTTATGAGCAGACAAACAGCCTAGTCTGGGCCACAGTCCTGTTTACTCTGCCGACGGTAACAAGGAACGGTTACGAGGCGGCAACACCAGAGCAATAATATTGCCACCATCATTGCTATCCCACCAATGCTACTACGAATTTTTTTAAACTACTTAGTCTTCCCTGCCTACTTTAATTGCAATCTTCATTGTAATCGCTACTTGCCCTTGTCTACTTTAGTTGAAGTCACCTTTCTTGTTCCTTATTCAAGGTTCCACTTATATTGTATTTAAAATGGCGTTTCATCGCTATTTTGGCGTGATTGGATCGTCTTCATTATATTCTAGTATGGTCAAATGGAGTATATTCGACTACTTTAAAGAACAATTTTGCAATTTGACAGCATATAGCAGCTCTGCTTATTTTAATACTGTGCCCCCATTTCAAGCCAACATCTAGCTTTGTAATTATCTTTTGATTCCTCAACTTATAATGTTGTCAGTAAACTGCGGATAAGTTTCTTCGGCGATTTGATGTAGCAGCGCTAATACTTTCGGGGGAATGTATTCGTGAACAATCAATAATTTTGGAAGTTCTATTCAACTAGATTATTTTAATCTAGATTGGGGGTAATATGCGTGAGAAATCTGAGCTAATTTCAGTAGGGATGGTGATGAACTGGCAGCCACGGTGCAAAACAGACATCGTGTTTGCACACAAATGTCACTAGATATTGATTATATACCAGTGTTCTTCATTTCGACTATCAGTATTGCTTGATCATAATGTAATTTAGGAGAAAAAATGAGAACAATTATTTTTCTCTTACATTGTGCTAACAGTTAAGTAATTACGGTCGATATTCAATTACTTGCTTAACAGGAGTATTTCGGCCGTCCGAATGAAAAGCCCACCGGATCATTTTTTTACAAAAGAGGTGTATAAATCACTATCATCGTACTTAAGTGCAACCTCAAACAAAACGTTTTAATATCTGATCCTTCTATTTCAATTATGTTATTTTTTTCCGATTTAGTTGTCTGTTTAGAAGCATAAAAGTTCTAATGCAATACTTTTGCTAGTCCTCAATATCATAAACGTTATTCTTCTAAATCTTGCCACCCTGGATAATCCCCTTTAGACAGCTATTTCGCCTCGATATACGATCATATAATTGCTCTTATATGATGTCTGTACCTTTTTTATTAAATTTTGTGGTTTTTTTTGCCATAGATCAATTTAAAAAATAAAGATCAGACTATACCTTAAATTATGCTCAATGTTCTTTCATTTTAGGTACTTCTGACGGGCATGGGTGCGGATGAGCAGCTGGCGGGTTACACACGCCACAGAAATACATTCGTGCAAGTCTCCTTTCACAATATGTAAAATGCAGATCCTTAGGTTGATGATTCGCTAATCTCAGTGCCCAATAAAATCACGAACCTGCAATATCTCACCTTACCCTTCCCCCGAAACAATGTGGCATTGAAAAATTCAAGGCTCCACTAATCAAGGCCATAATTGGCTGTCTTTTACGCGGTCGAAGGTTTTCGACCCCATCCACGACAAGTATAATCGCGTGATTTTCAATTGCTTTTATTACATGAATAGCTTCATTAGAATCACCGTATTTATTTCCCTTTCGAATTTATTTAGTTTTGGCGTCATTTTCTATTCTATTTTCCATTGGTAAGCATGTCAGGTTCTCTGATAGAGAACTAAAGCCTACTTGCAAAGCATTGATGGTACGCATTCATTATGGCTACTTATTCTGGCTAGTTACACTTGATTTTCACCAAACGCGAATTAGCCTGATGGACACATACTTGGTTGTTAATCTTTTTTTATTTTACCCATTGACCTAGTTCAGTAAAATCTTTCAATTGACAAAATGTTATTTCATTTTTGAAGCAAAATATAACTCCTTGAAATATTTCCAGTGTACAGAATAAACTAAGAATTTCCGACGAAGTGGTCTTTCTGGAATGTAATTTAGTCCGCTCAATCTCATTCAAGAAAAGTGACAGCGTATAACGTTTGAGTTCCTTCAATTTTTGTAAAGGAGGGCGGCATTTAACACAGGTCTGTAGGAAAAGCGTTCCACGTTTGTTCCTCCTTGCCACGTTGCTCTCACTTTGGAGCTGCCCATTTACATCTACCTGGGCACTATCGAGAGTTCACTTTTTCAACATATTTATGCGGGTACGGCAGGGAAACTTTGTAACAAAACTTTTCCAGATGGTTCATGGCTAATGTCACTTCGGTTGTTAATAGCTTTCCTGCAGAACACGAGACTGGAGTAGCTATAGAAAGCAGAGGTCAATTTCAGCACTTCTCTTTGGGGTCGTCACCGATTCTCCCATCCGTAGCATATGTACTTCTTCCGCCCCGCTAAGGTTTATCACCTAACAGTAGAAATCAGAATAGATGTCTTTTAAGATTGGGTTTGCTTTCCGCTGCTACTACTGTGACCCCCTGAGACTTCCTTAAAGGCGAAAGAAGGCATAATACTCTGGGAAAAGAGGTAGGGCTACTGGTATGGCCTGAAGGCCGGCCCATACGGCGAGGTACAATGGCTAAGACGCAAAGTGGTCCTTTACCAAAACCGACAGTTAAGCAAGCAAGCAACGCATTACAAGTTTTACTCAATTTCATTGGGGTTGTTTGTGCATAATGGGGCTAAGCTGCACGTTAGGGCTGACATTATCGTCCATGAGCGTCTTTCCAGTCTGGAGTTCCTTTGTTTTATTGGTTACATCTGACTTCATATTAATCGGTTTCCCACCTCGTTCCTAACTTTTGATTTGCAACAGTTGAAAGCTGCTTCTTTACCTGGATGCAAATGTTAATCTTTAAACTGTGCCACCATTATCAACCCCCTTTTACTGCAATGCCAACACAATATAGCCGGGTAAATCCAATACATTTTTATTGATATATGCAAAATTTCGAAAAAGGGGTATCGAGTTCTGATTATCACAGGAATTTGTAATATTAAAAAGGCAGTACTACCTTGAACTTAATTTCAGTAATGTGCAACATAAGTCAGGCCTTGTGCTTTGTTGCCATTTCGCACAATTTTGATGACAGTGGTGTGCAAAGCACAGTGGAGCCGCCCGCTTTAAGTGAAATTCTCTTGATAAATGCAATGGTGAGTCCATGCTTAAGATGTGTTCAACTCGCCTTAGTAAAGACAGTTGTCTTTACCCTCAGTAGTCCATCCGCTTCCCTTACTTCCCATTCACCATTGCTGTCGCCATTACTGCCTATTTTTTGTGAACACCGCCCATTTCAAAAATCCATAGTGGGACCACTGGAATATCACAAATAATAATGGCCTTATTTGTCGCGAACATACCTGTCATTATACGACTGCCGTAGGTTGTCATGCTATTGCTGGTAAGGTTGTCAAGCGGAAGCAATCGTTCTACTCTATTTATGTAACCTGTTAACTGGTCATTTTGGGTACCTTTATACTGTTCCACTTAAACGAGTTGGTGTGCGTAAAATTTTATTTGGCTCAGATACCCGTTGCAATTTTAACGAGCTTTCACCATTTACACTGCGAAGGCATGCGCTTGAAACAAAGAATGGGGCCAACTTCTTCGGTTTTCTCTTATTTGCGGGCCAGTTGGTTATTGTAAAGTACTTTATTATAGGAAGTGCTTTGTTTTTTTGTTGATAGTTTGATCAACTGTTAAGAGGCCTGTTCAAATCTAAACCTATCTGGTCCCTTCCTTGATCAAACATAGCTTCATTAGTTTCACCGAAATTGTCCCTCATGCAAAAAAACTAACTGGTACTCAGTCCCTGGCCCACCAACTTTTTATTCCGCCAGTCTAACCGCAAATTGTTGTGACACGACGGAAGGGTAACATCCTAGAGGCTAAGCCGCATCTTTTTGGGTTTTTGCTCCCATGTCTATAGTGATCTTCCTAAACAATTATTTACCATCTTTCGTTGTACGTTTTTCAAAACAAGTTTAACGGCGAAACTTCTGTGTGAAGTTTTATAACCGATCAACTATATTAATCGGCCCCCACAAACAGTGTCTTGTCTTGTACTACCGTCATGCCAAAACGTGGTTGTGTGTGCAGAGTAATTGATAGACTGGGGCGCTTTAAGTTTTATTCACTTTATTCTACATTTACTATCGGGACGTTTCCTTACGATAATTTATTTTGTAGTTCCTATTTTTTACTCCATTGTAGATGCTAATACCATCAGGTTCTATAAATTGGTAACGGCATCTATTTTACGATTTGCTGCCTTGTCGCCCCCCACCCCCAGAACACCACGTGTCTAGTTTGGGCGCTCACATGCAGCTCGAATGTGATTGATGCGATCACATTACCTCGGCCCTAGCAGGTGGTTGGACGCCCTGGTATATGATGGCTAAAGTATAGCCATGACTAAGCCATGTTAAGAAATCCCCCTTTTGCATCACCTCCGGGGCAGACCCTTCGGATGGATTGCCTCGGCGTTTACTTCGTCTATTTCGCTATTTTCCCCATTGTTCACGCTTCGAGCCTCTGATTGGTACTCGCCTCACCAATTTGCTATTTCTGTTTCATTCCTGCCATACTAGTTACTCACCTGGCTAAACACTAATGCGCATGACAGATTGAATAAACACAATTCCCTCCTTAACTTTTATCCTGTTTGGTTCCGTGTTCTGCCGCCGTTATACTTTTGAGCTAGTGAAGTCATGCCGCTGATGGTCCAAAGAGTCTCGCATGTAACAGCTACAAGTCTATTTGGGAATCTCATTTAGAATATTGCTCAGGTCTTCATGTTTCCCGTCCTTCACTCCCCTTCAATCGTTTAACTTCCTTTGGAATCCCCTCTGCCTGGTTTAGCTGATCATTCGACTTATGCTCAAACCTTTTTCCCTACAAGCGATTGCATGGAACTCACTGGTGAAATACTTGACTGGTACTTATTTCCATTGAAATTCGTCATTGCTGTTAATACATGGAGTCTGGGAGTAATGACTTTGCAATATTTCCCTTCATTTAGTGTCTTTTAAATGACTTCATAATAGTTTTCTCGTTTCTCTAGGAGCACCACTGCCCGAGGCGAAGGCATCAGCTATTTCATTTCCTCTGATTTTTATTCAGTGTATTGATTTGCAACTAGGTGTTCAATTTGAATACAATCCTTTCCTTTTCAGCTATTATTTTTGATTAGGAACTTGGTGATTTATGAGTACGCATGGAAGAGCCTTTTTAATCGGGCGTAGCCTTTTCCGCTCCATTACTTTTCCGTATTTGGATTGCAATTTATCACCCTGTAGCGTAGTTGAAGGTTGTTTGTTTTCTCACGTCTATTTTCAATGAACGACTAAACTGCTCATCTTTTGCTGTCTTGAATTTGCACTTTTTATTCCTTTTTATTTTTCTACAAATGATTGTATTTGTTATTCTGAACTTGAAATTTATTCAAGCGGTGGGTAGATAACTGAGTCTTTTTCAAGAAACACTGAAAAAATTACATCGTTAAGGTCTTCCGAAGATCATTTTTAAAGCCCTTGTCAGTCATTTAGGTCTCCAATTTATCGGCCCAATTGTGCAATTAGACCGTCTCAGTTATCCAGTTTTTTGACAAGATGTTTTTACCGGCGTTGAATTATTATCCGATCTCCCAGACTATGTGAAATTAATTTTGTTAAGCGACAGGATAAAAATGATGTATATTTTGGTTGTTTATAAGATTGCTTGGGCCTTGAAATTCTCTCACGAATAAGACTTAGTGCTGCACTACTAGTCACCTTTGATATGCGTACAACAAAAATATGTTCGTCCTATATCGTGTCTGAGACCAAATAGTGCGTTACAATGGCAGTGGTGCTGTGAGTTATTCGACACTCTACCTCTTACTTAAAGTACGGCTATTTTTACTGGAAATACGGAGAGGTAGTTTGTTGGCACGCTAAAATTCAGTAGTAATAATACGTATGCTTGAGATGACTGAATCTAGGGTGCCTTGCGGTAGCAGTCTATCAATAAAAATTCTCATTTAGTAACTATCCTGTTTGCACTCAGTCATTTAATGGAGTGGGATCTGAAAAAGTTGATAGGAGCATGCTGATTAAAGTCGTGCTGTAAAACGATGAACAATTGGTGAAATCTGAAATTATGATACATTCTCATGTTGCAAGACCCAGGTGACTCAAACGGACAAGATAGTAAGGAAATAACCCCCATTGTTCAATTTATGTGAATTCATTTTAAGGCTCGCTATATGTTTCTGCTCGAATATGCGTTTTCTGTTCAACAATGCCTAAGCCCTCAATGTAGCTCACAAATTTGTTTTCGGAGGTCGTTCTGTCCCTATGACAGGCCTTTGTATAATCTTCGCTCTTTCCCCGCGGTTGATTTCAACTGACTTGAGTACTGTTGCAGTAGCTGACGCAGACGTGTGATCTCTGGAAGAGCTGAAGGTGGCGCTCAATACACGACGAAGTCTATGTGCCTAAATAGCGTTTTAGTGATCTTTATACGAAAAATCTCCCGTAAGCTAGTCTCCGTTCCTAAGCCATGAAGCTCTGCCCGTGTTTCTTGTGCTGCTGTTTTCCCAGCTTCGCATTTTTTGCATGGTCTTAGAGAAGAAAGTGGGTAGTTTAGAAGAGAAGAATTGCCCGTTTATGATCGTTTCATTTCCATCCGGTAGATTCTAGTGAAATAAATACTTGTGATGTCCCTTTTGCAGAGGATTTTAAGTGAAATTATTTTCGTATTTTTCTGTATGTCCCAGCTGCTCTTTTGACACTTTCAGTATTCATGTATGACTCCCACTTTTATAAGCTTCGAGATCATAGGATTTCTTTTTCTCATTCAGCCAACAGGGTTCTAAAGCAGTGGAAGCGGAACTGGCACTTGAAATGCAACGCATTTCGGAGAGGAATTTGGGGCGAGATGACAGGTTTGTGGTTCTCACATTCACCTAATTCTGAAGTGTACACTGTCTCATTGTGAAGGCACCACAGTACTCAAGGTTACTGCGTTCCCAGTCTTACTCAAAACAGTTACTTTTTCTGTATATAGTCGAAATCAAGCATATTATAGTTGGAATATCTTTGACTGTTTTTACAGTATTCAATTGTGCATTGGTTCTCAAAAAAGATTTTATTCATTTGGTAAGACCTCGTCTAACATTATGACTTCATCCCATTTACGAAACATCTAGTTCTCTTAGTTATTGGGTTTTGAGACCCGTCGGTTTTCGTTAATTAAGAAAGTGCCTTTTCACCATTTTAGGCATACGCTTTCAATTCACTATTGTTTTCTATTTTTTTGTCTCCGTACTTTATAAAATTTGAAATAAATTTTGGTTTATACTGACTGTAAATGTGAATTTCTTTGTGGAACTGACGCAGTGGCACAGTAAACTAGAGATATCAGTGAATAGAGTTTCTGCTTAGGGAAAAATTCCACTCTAAGTAGTTACTCCTGAAAAAGACATTTTATGTGGATACACTCTTTATCCTGGGCAAATATGATCGAATGATTCATGGAGTGATCATGGTTTTAATTTAGTTGTAGGCATAGCCTCGCTTCTAAGGGCGATCCTTTAGCATCAATTTAATTTCATGCGTGATATATGCCCGTTTCTTATTAAATCCAAGAGTTGCATCGTTTTCTCTACTTAAAAGCAGGAAGTGCCATTCTTCTAGTAACAATTCAGTTTATTTTACGTGGAGGGCCGGACCATGCAGTATCTCGTCAAATCATGTTTTTCTAAGGAATACATTACTTGTTTACTTATTTTTATACCATACTTTTATCCCTTTTAATAGAAATTTGAATAAACGAAGGCGTTTTTTTTTAAATCTAAGGCGGTTTTTGGGTCACAATTCTAGTTTCTAAAAGGATATTAAAACAGTCCATTCGGTCGTAATTACACCAGGTAGTGTCGAAGGGTGTGAAAAATTTGCGCTTTTAATAATTGTTTACTTTCGCATGGTGCCACCTAATTCGTTCGCTAATGGAGCCAAAAAATGAATTTCAAAGTGCGTCTGATTACAGTACAATACATTATTTCGGTTTTACCCAATTATCTTGCCAGTCGTTTTTTAACATCTCAAATGGTTTCTGTCCAAATTGTACTTTGTGCGTGATTTATTTCAACTTGAGCTTTTACTCATTTCGTGCTTTCTTCCCATAATGGAGCATTTTAGAAGCAGGTTGTTGTCGGAATATGAGCGTCTTTGTCAGATAACTAGAAACGCAGGAACCTCATCCCCGCTGTGTTCTCCAACATGGGTGGAAAACCAATCAAAGTTTAAATTTTCGGCGTTTTTTGTGAATTCCAAAAGTGTTAATCCTAAATATCCAAGTTTTTGATTTTCCAAAACAGTCTATTTTTATCTTAAAGCTGCTAAAGTATAATTTGGGCCATGACTACGTTCAATTTAGATGCAAGTCCGCGCTACAATTAAAATTGTGGTTATTCGGTGAATGTGCCTAAATCCTCGTTCATTAAGTATAAAGTGCCATCTTCAACTCACAATTAGCTCCTTTGGTCCTAATGCTTGTCTTCCACGCAGCACATTTTATTACTTAAATGATATTTTAGATCAGAAATAACCTTATGGTAGTCCAATAAAATAATGGCGGTATAAGTTAAACAGAAGAAATGTTCACTAGCAGGCTCATTGTTTACCCCAACCGGGTATATCATGCTTCATGATCTAAAAATTTCAATTTTTGGCCTAATTTCCTAAATTTCGCATCTTTTTAGGGTAATTTCAGATCATGGTCGTGAGGCTCACTACCCCTTTCTTGACGAGAGAATTGTTCATTATCTTGCGCTGCTTCCTCTTGAAAACAAAGTGAGCATGCTCCTGTCATAAAATTGCCGTTGGTTTAAAGCAATCTACAAATTATTAGAGTTATGCCAATCTCATTTGCTTTGTTTCACATAGAACCTCCAAAAAACAAATCTGCTTTCTAGCCAAACAACTTTAACCTCATTAAATAAATCCGTAATATCTCAAAAAAGTCGTGAGTCGGTGCTATTTTTCGGTCTCGAAATTTGATAAGTCTATGTTTTTTGCAGCTGAATTTCGACCTTCAAACTTAGCATTAAGATCGTCAATCGTTCTAGCTGAATATATGCCTGATTATTGCTGTAAAGATGTATGCGTTTGAATACGTAATCAGTAATACAAATCTAAGATACCTTTGAATGACACTTCATCTCCTTATAAATGTTTGACTTTTTATAAGACTAATTGGGCATCGTAGGTTTAATATTCTTGTAAAGATATGAAAAATGTAAGTGCTGGTTTCTCAAGGTTTTTTTAGGTGTTCCATTTCCTGACATTCCCAAAATGTAAACACGGGACTAATATCATAAGTCTATTTTAACAAAAAAAATAACATTACGTTTTCATGCTAAGAACGACTTCTCTCGTGTGCTTCATATCATATGTTCCTATCTCAACTGAAGTAATCTAGTGGACGTTACAAAAAAAATGGACGACATCCTTATCAGCCTTCTGCACCTGCAGGGTTAATGCAGCTGCAAGGCACAAGAGAGACACCTCCGTGGAATCCAGTCCTCTTGACAAAAGTATAATCCGGTTGGATGTAATTTACCTTTCCCAAAACACGCCTATAAGATAGGCCATTCTTCTACTTTTATCATTTACTGCTTCCACTGATCCTACCACCAATAACATTAGTTTTCCGTGTATACCACAATCTTCTTCTCCACTCACTTACCCCAAGCATACACGGCGAGAAAAACTGGTATGCTGTCGTTACTATTTACACTGCCGGGTTTTCGTTGTGCTTTCAATCACCTGTCTAGCCTTTGAACTGTCATGTGCAATCAAAAACGATGTGCTGTGGTGTTTCATAACTTCGAACTTAAATAACGTTGACTTTCATCCCTGTAACAATTGTTTACAAAGTAAGGGTAACTTTATCGTGATTTTGTGAAATATTCGAGTCTGCAAATTATGGTGATCATCTCTGATATGAGGGTTATTTCTATTTTTCCCTTTAATTTGTGAATGATTTTACTATAATTGTTTTCGAAATGTAAGAATTTGGTGCTTAGGTATTGTTACTTGCTTTATTTCCCATATTTTTATTAGGAACTACAAGCAAAAATACCAAGTTTGCTATTGCATAGACGCATTGCATAACAATTGTACTTGTTTTTTCATATTCCCACGTGTCAAAAAGGGTGATAAATTATGGTACCCGTATGCAACTTATATTTGAACAAATTTAATAACGTGAGCGCACTCTGTCTAATGTTTACCTTTTCCATTGATGGAATCTCATTAAACACACCATGGTGCTCGTCTGAAATTCGAAATGTTAATTTGGTAGCGTGCCTTTCCTTTATCGCGATGTCAAGGGTTAACCTTTTTAATTGAAGTAAATTTCACTATTCTGTCAACTGATTTAGTTATTTCCACCATTAACTTACCTTTATTTATTCAAAGTTATTGTCGGTTTTTATTTATATGCTGATTAAAATTACACTGCTTTTAGAAAAGTTGGTTTTTGTAATTGTTTTTTTTTCCATTAATTATAACTTGCTGGTAATTCCGTTTTCAGACTTGTCAACCTTTGTACCTACCGATTCGGCTTCTGTTTTATTCCAAAAATCACTCTTTAGTGGCATGTGTATGTGTAGTTTGACTTAGAGCTAATCATTTTCTTTTTATTGTGGTATCCTGGAGAAATAATCAATATTTGTAATCTGACTCCACCCTGTAACAATTAATGTGGATGTTTATTCGCTTAAGATACTAATAATGCTTTATCACTGGTTGGTGTATCGATAAATGTATTCTTCTTTGTACAAATTTTGATCAGTTCCAGTATTCTTAAGGTATAAACATCAGTAATTTCGGAAAATTTTTATTTGGACGCATCAAAATTGATTGAACCCATGTAGTAGATTTTTGTCTGATCTTATGAGTCCACTTTAGGTCGTTCATCTATCATGATTTTCGTTTTCATAAGTCAGTTCTGTACACTTAATAATATTCATCTGATATAAGGGCGGATCGTGTTCATCTGATCCCAAAGCTCTCAAAAATGGGTTGATGAGGCTGACACTGAGGCTAACCCTCGGTTCAAGCTCCTCAAAGTCATCATTTTATAAAGTCTCTGGGTTGACGGTGAAAAAAGTGATACCTAGTTGTTCTGTTTACGATACTGGTCCTCTCACCGGAACCAAGCGGTCGTATAAATCAGTAATCATTTTGTGGGTGGCTCGTAACAGTAAAATAAAGTCATTAAACCATCTATTTTTAAAGATTACCAGCAATGCCAAGTCTGTAATAATATCAAGTTATTAAAAACTTTTTCATGCCTTTACGGAGTTTACAATTAACAACCAAATTTCTTTTATAATTCATAAACTTTTTAGCAATCAAATTAGAATGCATAGCTAATAACCCTAGTCACGAAAACATTCCATTTGCAATTTTTGTTTGCTACGTTTTGCGGTATTCTCGAAATGTTATGCTTTGATATGTAAAAAGGAAAATTGTATCGGTCTATTTGCGTATCAACTGCTCTTGGTTTTTTCGACCCCTTGCTAGGATTTTTTTAGATGAAATCCGTTAACAGTTTCATTTTACGCGTACATAGTTAAATCCCATTGCTAAAAGCTCAACGCGTTTGTAAATGTTACGACATCTGGTTCCAATTAGTTACTCTACTCGCTTGTGTGATTAATGGCCTGTTTAGTGCTGTGACCCATTTATTACTGCATCTGTGACAATGTTGGCTCTTGCCTCTGTGCCTGGTCAGTCGGGTGGGTATGGTAGGTGACAGGCAGAAACGAGATAGAGAGAGCAGATAGGAGAGAATGCCCAGGTCTATGAATGATGTTTTTCGTGCAACATAGTGTCAAACAGTGCGGATACGTTATTCTGGTTCGTTTCCTCCTCTGGATATGAGCGTGGATATCCCTCATCATTTAATTTACTTAAATGGACAAGAGATCGTTCCTCCGTAATCGATTAATTGGGTTTCGTGATTATTCTACAATCGATAAAGTCAACCAACAGCTGGGTCATTAAGGAGTCACCAACGAATGGTCATGGGAAATAATTGAGTTTTTTCGTCAAACGGTGTATTAATATGAATCTGCGGTTTTATGTAAAAAAATTTTCGTATTCTGACGTTCGCTTGTTTAAATCGTTTGCTGGTAGCCTTTTAACCATTTGATTCCACCTTGACGGGTTGTTTGTAGTGTTCCAGTATCCGCAGACTAGTAATGTACATCAAATCTTGTTGCTATTACTTTGTACTTGTTTCAAGACGAGAATTCCTCTTTCCTGTCATCACAACTTTTATTTGCTTACATTGCGCAATGGAACTCATTCGGTTATCTGACTTCTCATTGATTTGCATCAGATACCAACCTTAAGTTTTATCAGGAGGAATCATCTTCTATTTTGGACTTTAGTCATTTTTTTTAACACCCATTAGTTTCGTTTTCAGCAGTTGTCTCAGAGTGGGACTTTCTGCCTAAAACATCGAGCATTTCATTTTCGTTTCTTCGACGCACCTACCAAATACTGCTGTTTTTACTCGTCTATGTAGCTGTATTAGTTTCATTCCGTAATCAATATCCAATTTCACTCATTTCCCACCAGGCGGATCTAACCCTGCACCGCGGCGAGGGTGAAAAACAGCTGCTACGTGCTGTTGCTACATCCCTTGGCCTGTGGACTGCTGCTCGATTACCAAAACGAGCGCTACAGTTTGGCTCGCGCGTTGCCAAGAGTGAATCCCTCCACAAAGTTGTCGGCGCCGACTCAAACGTCCTAAATGCGGAATAAGCAGTGTCACCACTGCCACCACAGCTCCCCTGTTGTGCTCATCTGTCTTGTACTCATTTGAAGTGAAAATAAAACGTTGCTGCTCCTGAGCTTACGACTCAGGAACCGACTCCACCTTGAATGTATTAAGGGAATGCGCTGTGATTCATGCCACCGTAGTAGCGGTTGTATTACAGGGAGCCCGAAGGCTCACGTAATTTTTGGCGAAAAATAAGAATCTATTACGATAGTTTGCCCATAAATGATTGGACTAATCATCAAGTCAATTAGATATAGCTGTTTATTGGGCACTTGTTGCATTCAGGTAGGAGCCGCCATTCATTCCATCCCAACTTATAAGACGGCGTTATGCGCATATTCCTACCCCTCATAAGTCGATCGGGATTTCTGTTTTTTTTTAGTTTAGGGTTTGTCTTTTCTTGCCACATGTAATATGCAGTAAACTTATAGGAGAACTCCTCACAGGTATTAATTTCGGGGAGCCACTGTTTTGTATTCCCTCATTCCTTAGGATAGATTACTGAATAGTGGTTAGCACTTTGAGTTCATCAAAATCTTTTTCAAAATGCACACTTCTTAGCACTACCCTGGCTTCAAGCTAAAGACGTAGGAATTTAATTATGCTTGTTGACTTCAAGGTGATAACGTGTGGTTCATAGCGCTACCTTAGTTTTGTTGGGGTTGTTCCTTTCTTGTGAATAAGCACAACCAACTTATTGAACGGTGTCATTGCGGTGCTGTGCGTCGAGAACAATTCTGTTGTTTTACTATAAGCTGATTTCTATTGGGCTCAAAGACCTCGATATCCTTGCCAACGTTACTCTTCTTTAAGCTGGTATTGTCTTAATTTTGTAATTCAGGGAGGCACAGAGGCGGGCGCTCCCACTTTTGTATTGGTTTGTTATATTAGATTTCAAGTTACAGATATCCATCTTTTTGTTCACCTATGTTAATACTTTAAAATTACGCTTTTCTGTAATTCTTCTTCTAGGAAATGAAGAGACTGTAAAAATCGAAGCCTAATGACAGTTACATCATTGATTCGTCCCGATGTAAGTTATGAATAACTCTGTGGATCGTTTTGCGAAATGAAGAGAGTTTGTTTCGTTGCGATTTCCTTTATTTTAACTTGCATAATGTTTGAATGAAAATATGGACGGTAATCAGGCAAGAGAGGCACAAAACAAGTCCAAACTTACCTTATTCAGTGATCCGGCAAACGTCAAAACCTTAAAGTTTGTAATTAATTAAACGTAGCTGAGTAAAATTTGAGCGTTAATTTGCCTCCGTAGTATTCAATAGGGGTATTGATATCTACAGGGTGAGGAGTACCCTTACCACCCTGATTTTAACTGACGTGTTAATCTTCCATGCAATTCGTAGTGCCTTACCCAAATACTTGCGCATGGTTAGGAAGATACCTGTAAACAGGGGCATAACTATTGGGATCTTTTCCCATTATTTTCAAAAGGTGATAGAAAATGCTTCACCTTGTCTGATTTATGCAAAAGTCATTTAGTATCTCTCATTTGCTAAGAAAACCAGTATTTTTTGAGCTTGCGTAAATATCAGAGGCAAAACTGGGGTAACGATGGGGAGATGCCGTAACAAACTTACGCGGTAGTGAATTTTGAAGTGGTCTGAAAGTCTGTTAAACTAGTCGCAAACTTTTAGGAAAGGCATTATGTACGAAGTCCTTTGCTAGTTATGCAATAAATTAAGAAACGATTTACTTCCTAATGCCCACTTTTTGCTAATAGTAGTACAATTGTGTTCGTTACAACCCACGCACCTTAAAACTGAACATGTATGACTATATGTGCCCATTGTTGATGCTTGTTAGTGTTAGTGGAATAGAGGAACACTTTGCATGTAATGGAGAAAATAAGGTAGTCCCGGAGAAGTATTTGGTTTAGAGCGTGATGAAAATACCTTTTTTTGCAAAATTTGTATGAAATTCTAAACACTCACCCGAAACGACTAATAAAAGGAGGAATATTGGGACCCCTTTTGTAAATATTTAGTCATTGCAACTAAAATCATCTCATTTGATTTGTCCTCTCTTACCCGCTTGAAAACAATGTTACTAGTTCTTCCTGATCAGCCTATGGCAAATGTTTCTTTCACATTGGGATTAAACAATTTCTCCCCTGTTTTTAGGCTTGTCATTAAGTAATTATGTCGCTGTCAACTAAGGTTAGTGCTTGTAGGAGCAACTTTTACAGAGATAAATGCACTAATTCACTTTTCAAACAGGTACCACTGGGGACACATTATACCAGTGGTTCAATAAGCGCCAGTTTTACGGGAAATTACCACCTCCCGTTGCATCACGCAAATGCCAACAGCTCTCTTTTCTAACACTTTGGATTTATTTGCTGCGGTAACAATTCACCCAAACCGAGATGCCAAAGCTAAGTACAGACCCAATTTAGGCTCTTTTTAGGGGATCATGATATCTATAAAGTACCGCTAGTGGGAGGTGTTAGAAGTACTAACATTCTAAGCCAAGCGAATTTTTAAACCTGCAGAAATTACGTGAATACACCTTTGATTCTATGGCGTTACTTTGTATGTTATCTACGTCATCATCGTAGAAATGGGGAAGCTGACCCTTGTCCCAATATTAGTAACGCAAGTGACTGCATTCAATCGCCTACATCTGGCAATAGTGGTGTAGGAATCGGTGCAGTTCGCTGGTAATTCAGCAGTTATTCCTAACTTCAGGGTCTTTACAACCACCTACGTGCATCAATAATCTGAGTAATCGATAACTCCACCCCCGATATTCAAGTAAAATGAACGAGGTTATAAAGGGATTTATTAAAATTTCCTTAGTTAAGCATCAACACTAGGCAAAACAGAGAACTTGGAGCCATTAGAACAAATAGGGACATGGTGCAACGAGGAAGCCATTAGAAGAAGTACTCACGGCTGCCAGGTCAGATTTAAGGCGACTTGTATGAAAGCGAAAATGTCTGCCAGTTCATCAATCTGAAACAGGACAGAAGCGTATTACTTCCGCGTAGAGTTGATATTTTGTCAATATCAACCTGTCTTGCAGGGTGTCTCAGGTAACTGAGAGCAGTACTTTTGGCAAAAGAGGAACAATTCGAGATTTCGATTGACTTTAATCTCGTTTTTCAATTCAGACAAGAAAGTTCTGGCTTTAACGTAAAAAATGAAAAGGGTAACACTTCCCATCGACTTGGTCGTCAACCCTAGTTAATGTGAAAATGCATCCTCCTTGGGGTTGCACAAGATTCTTCTTTAGACATAAATGATACTTCCTCTCTTCCTTTGCAGCATTAAGATTAATTAGGTTATCCGTACCTACATGTATCGGAGACAGTTTTCACGCTCCCAGAAATCCTTGTTTCGGTAACCGCTCCATAACCATTATACCTTCCGGATTAGCTTCGCCGAATTGCAGCTCAGGAGTACTGTTCTTTGGGCCTTGATGGTTTGTTGTTTTTAAACACGCAAATGCTAGTTTTATTCATAGATACCTTCGGCCACATCAAAATTACATGACCGTCCAAACTCATGGATAATTTCCCAGCATGGAAGGTTGAGGAAGAACGTTATCTGCGAGGTGCTGATCAAGGTCGGCCTACTACGAAGGCCTATCCAACCAACATGTTTAAGCATGTGCAAGGCTTCAAAATTAGGGATTTCGCCCTTTCCAAACTTCCCCCAGGCAGAATAATTTTTTTTAAGGAAACACTGATGCACTTTCTTACAGATAAACTTTGAAACAAATCAGAATAAAAGTATGGGTTTTTTTAATTTACTCGTGGGTCGTCTAAATTGAAGCGAAAATATTTCAGATATGTACTTTGAAACTGGTCGCATTCAAACAAAAATGATAAATTCCAACTTCATCCGCGAAGACAAAGTTCTGTTTAATCTCAGCAAATTCAGGATCAAGTGCTTAAGCGCATTACGGTCACACAATGAAGGAGCTATCGTGTCAAAACGACTACGCAATTTTCCTGTAAAAAAAGAATGCATGACTCATTTTTGAAACGCCTTAAAAGTAGCAAAGCAGTTCGCATGAAATGTGCTTGGGAACTGAGAAATAGGAACAAATTAATAAATTACGTACTTACTAAAGCAGAAGGCATAACCTAGGGTCTTTACATTCTAAACCATGAAGCGCCGAATCACATAAGTGTGAGATGGCCCACAAGGGAAATTTGCTTCTAACTTTAAATAAACATTGCTATTCAATATGTCCAACAAGTCCATCCACATGTTATGAAATTTGTCAGAATAAGAAGAGTGCAGACATTATCCTTGGTAGTAACAAGAACTGGCTCCGCTTTTCAACTTCAGTGAACTTCAGGATTTGTAAATTTATGAGATCTCCAAAGCATCGCCGAATAAGGGTTGGGAAAAGGTTAGGTTTAATGAGGTACACGAGCTTTGAAATTGATGACGCATCTTGAACTTGTAACTGATTACCTTTGGGTAAAATCATAAGAAATTAAAATCTCACGAAATCACAGTTACTTTAAGAGGCATAATTCACGCATAAAAAGAAAACCATTCTTGATCACGAGGTTTTGATCTGGCCTTTCGGACTTCGCATAGCTTACACCTTAATTTAAAACTTCAAATATGCCTCCTAAAGTTTATGAATAATACTGATCTTGTGGACGAAGAATACCAAATTTAATTTACTCCGTTACAGTCTCCGCAACAGATGTGTACTGCCTTGATGCTAACATATGCTTGGGGACGCGAGTAAAAGTGCCGGACACCGCTCGCTTCTTCCGATATTGGATATGGTAATTAAATAAGTTCGTGCGTTTTTATCACAGCTAAAAAACAAGTTAATCATCAATAAATCCAATAATCTTTCCTCAGCGAGACGCAGACCTGCCACTTCTACTCATGTAAAGCGTTTGGTCTCCAGAAACGAGCAACCTAGATATACCCACCTCCGCTTCAAATTTTATTTTTTCAACCTGTCCCATTTCCCATGTGATTGGCTGGTGCCAAAATGATAGTGATTTGGAGAAATATCAGAACGGTGCAAAGGATAGAGGCGATATCTCCCCCCATCCCATCCTAAAGGGCATTGTGAGGCCTTCTTACGGGTACGTTTGGAGGCGGCATAAGATCCTGAGTTGTCCTGTTAGAATGTGGGCAACATAAAAAACTGCACGAACTTTTTGGTCAATGATGACTTTACTTGAGTAACACCGGTATTTAGATAGTTGAGAGAGTCGGTCATTAAACGGAGTATTACCAAATAAACGAAGCAACGAAGGCTGAAACCACGATGACAAGATGACCACATTTTAACACGGCCCGTTCCTTGATCAAGAACAAAGATAGAGGTATTTGCCCCTAATTGAAAAATGTAGACGTAGAGTATTCCTATCCTAAATGTCAATTAAGAGAGAAAAATGAAGAATCGGTAATTTGCGAGATTGTAAAGAGCTGGAAATAATCCATATAGGTGAGTAGATAGCGTCACAGTAGCATATTCATTTTCAGCATATGATATGGGTGACGTAATCAGCGTTTCATTTAAGGCAGAATTGCTTTCTCGCAACATTTCTGAGTTTAACAAGCCTAGTACATTATATCTTAAGAAAATAACAAAAGTCTATCACAAGAACATAAATTATGCTCCCAAAGTACATTGATTCTGCCATGGAAATAGGCATAGTCTTTCGATGTAAAAAGAGGTCAATAATATTTTGAGCTCAAAACCTTTCCTAAATGGTGGATATATTTGATTGACCCAGAGACAAATATAAGATTACAGCGGCCATACCCTTTTAGATGAAAATTCGTGCATACGCATGAAACGATCTGCCCATTTAACAAATTAGTTACAAAAGTATACCCAACAAAGCGAAGAAATGCCTTTGACGAAATGACGTGTTGAACCCGTTCAAGCTCTAAACTTATGCCAGATTCAGACACAAAGTGGAAAAAAACAAGCGTAATAAAGGTGCGAGAGATCGTTTAATTCATGTATCAAACAATATATCAACTCATTAAGCCAAACCCAATTTTGAAAATATTTGTTGAGAAAAAGAATGAACCTATGCACCTGCAAACAATTGGGAACACGGCATACTTGCAGACACTTATGCAGACGCCTAAAATCGCTAAGCTGAGTGAATGCGCTATGTGAACGTTAGATATAAATAAACACAGAAGGACTATGAAAGTATATTTTGTCAACTTTAAAAACAAACAACCGTCCCCGATGGTAGTCGTATTTAGATTAATCTCATCAAATTACTTCGATCATAAAAATTGGTTACGTTTTTGCCGTGAATTTAACCCAAGATTGAAAACAGTAAAAAGCTGTTAGTATTAAAATTTGATGTACGTATTCAAATGTGGGAAAGAATCTGGTAAGGTAAGAAAGTCAAGAGGTAGATTTTACCACATTAATTATGCCACCGAATATCAGCTGATGAATCGTCTCAAATCTTGCGTCAGTTGACTGCACAACTTCCAATGAGGAATATGAAATCGTATTCCAAGCCACAAAAAAACAAAAAATCTTATTTAAGTTGTAAAAAGTACCTTTCCCACGTTCACTGTATATTTCCCACCCAGTTTTTATGCTACGAACAGTCAAGCGTACTCAAATTGCCAGCATGATAGCCAAGTTGTGTCGATGGAAATCAGCTCCACACACACCATTCAATTGCCACAGAACAAGTTCTTATAGCTCCAAAGTAGATATTCCCATATTATGATCAATAAAGAATTCATTAATTCGATAAATTTACTTCAAGGAGACCAGGTAAAAGCCACACAAACCCAAGCGTGCATCTGATAAAGTGATGATCATGACAACTCCAGTGCAAAAAAATAGTTATACGGATTATAAAAGCTTATAATCACATAATTTACATGATTAACATACAACTGCATACAACATGCAGCTTTTGCTCGGAAATAACAAGTCATCTACAATTTACCAAAAAGTGTAACAAAATACTGCAGCTTATAAGATGGTATTCACGAACCAAAAAAGGTTCATCGTAGTGATGGTAATGATAGTCATAGTAGCTGAAGAAATTAGAAACAGCCTAATTGTAATTTTAAATGTTTGTTGACTGCACAAACTAGTACCTAAGAAGACTGCGACACCATTAAACAGTGGCATCCCCCTTTAAAAGTTATTTTCTGGGACCTTTAACTGATTAAAGCAAATTATCAAGAACACCCATACAAGCAACGTCTTTACAATAACTGAAAGGCAGGGACCAACAAAGTGAGACATCGACTCTTAAGCATAGTAGTACTTAATAAAATTGGATATACTTCCAGTACTGTCTTACCACAGAGTTAATTTAGGCAGGCTTTTTAAATATTCTGAGAGATTTCAATACCTAATACTTGTCTTTAATCAATGCTAGGAATCAGAGAGCTGTGGAAACAAGAAATTGCTTATAGAATCTTTTGAAACCCAAAAGAAACGATTGTTTTATACCTAATGATTTTCCACCAGCACCAATCTGTCTCCTGAAGGCAGGTTAAAAAGAAGGTTTAAATGAAATTCACCTCAAAGAGGAATAGAGGGAGAAGGTCTTACCTTCTTTGAGGTTGGTTTGCCGGCCCCATGGCCACTGTTGGTTTCGACACGGAGGAGTAGGGGATTGGTCTGGGAGGGACAGGTGCGTCCAATGACCTCCTGCAGCGTGGCAATGTACTTAAGCGAGTGCAACGGTGCCACACGGTCGTCGTGATCGGAGGTAAGCACTAGCACTGCCGGGTACTGTACGCCCAACTCGGACGGCCGCCGAATGTTGTGTAAAGGTGAGTACCTATGGGCAGAGACGTGAGGAAAAACATATATGAATTGTCACTTGTGGGTAGCATAAAACAATTTTCTTTCACTCCCCTACCATGTTGAAATGCTCGGTTTAGTTAAAAACCAAGTGGGCATTAGTAACGTGACTACGTAGAAAGCGTCACCAGTCTTCCTGCTATATGCGCAATCTCAATATTGGTGTCTCGTGGGGGAAAAGAAAAAGCATGCCAACACACCTTAATGCTTCGAAGAAAAAAAACACCCATTCCACTTTCATCTCTAAACATTGGTAGATGTAGCATGGGTTTTCTGAAACCTATAGTATTTAAGGCTTGGTTTTGTGACAATGAGTAAAATACTTAACTAAAAATAAAATATACGGGTGCGTCTATGGAAACGAGTCAGTATCGCACCTGGTTCTCATGAACATAATACGTTTGAGGGGAGGGAGCTAGAAGTTTTATCATTTCGGAATGAAAAGAACCTAGTTGCATCGACCCTTCTGTTACCTAAGCAAGTTGCTAGAACACGTTCTTCCCCCTCAAACGTTGTATAACATCACAGTTATTATCGGATCTTCATAACGTCAGCCATATCTACCGACTATCTTCGGTTTTTTTTTTAAAACTCGTTTCATTGAAAAAATTCCTTAAATGTTGTCGACTGGCTCATAACCACTTCTTTCGTAAATTGATCAGTCTTGATTTTCTACAGGCGGGCACGTTCGTATATTGCATCGCGTCGTATAACCGCTTCACAGATCTGTGATAAAGTACGCCTTTTACACAACAAGTGAAGATATCAGGACCTTGCAAGCAAGCAACTTAGGTGAATCATCAACATCTTTCGATTCTTGAATACGAAAATTTACAAGTGGTTTGCACTGATGAGAGTACTTAACTAGGGTCTTGCATGCATGTCTTCAAGTCGATTTGATTAATCACAACACCGAAAATAACAAGTTGCAATCCTAAAATCCAAGTGATAACTCGAAATCACAATAGTAAAAGAAAAGGATCTCACGGAATGGCATTGTAGCACGTATGAAATATTATTTAAAACGCCATCCACCGAAATGTTTCGATGAAAGCCCTATTTTGGGACACAATTTGAATAGTGATTTCAGACGCGTTATTTATTAAGGTTTATTGAAATTAAATGATAATCATTGCGCTGTGGACTTTTGCAGGTTTCTGCACATTTTAACCTTTGGCAAAACAAAGTACACCACTTAATTACCTACACGTTCATTTTCATTTGCAATAGTAATCCGATAGATGATGCCAATAAAATCACCTCTTTTCTGCCATCGAAAAAAGGGACATTAGTTCACATCCGCTTCCACATAGTCATCACATAAGCCTTTTCCCATTAAAATGACATGGTGCTAAAGCTGGGCTGTAACCTGAGATGCGGTGTGGAAGCAAGCGTGATTACGTAACGGTGAAATTCGCTAGCAGACTTTCTCTACTAGAATTTATTGGGGGTCCTGATTCCCTCCAAAGCACGTCACAGTACATTGCACTTCTGACGGATATTCGGCCTTTCTGGTGAGTTCCAAAGAAAGATTGGCGAGTCCCAGAAAATGGTTGAAAAAAAATTCTCTGCTGACGATGGGGTTCCTAATTCGTTGCCCATTCGCTTGCTCGCTCTCAGAGCCATGATAGGGGACGGAGTTTTCATCACCACTGAGTACCTGATTTATAAATTTGGCACCTTCCTCACGAACGTTTTATTGCCGTCATTTATTCGCCACACTCACTCAGTTACCTAAGGGAAAGCGTTCTGGATTAGATTTCAGAACTCAAAGTATACATGCCTTTCATGTAACTTCTTCATGCGGTACTCTTGTTTTCAAGACTCAGTCCCATATTTTTATCCATATTATTTATGACCATAAATGCAGCTGAAAGTTCCAAGTGCTCCCTATCCGTCGCACTGTACAGCCATAAAAAAGCACAAGATCAATTCGTGCTCCCGACACAAGTACACACAAAACTAACGCATGAAAGATCAAAAGTATCTATACCTTGTCCTTATCAAAAATGTCAAGATCGTCGACACAAATAATGCTTGTGTTGTCTTCGCCTTTTTTAATAATACACAAATATGAAAAGCCTTGAACTCGCTTCGCGCTATGACTTACAAATCCTCTACTCTGACGCAATTTCAGACTAGTTTTACCATATATTTCTCAAGTGTCCTCAAAAAATTCATTCGCTATCCAACAAAACAACTTCGTGTTCTATTTCGATACAATTTCCACCTCAAATAGCGGAGTTTTGAATAGGTTGAACGCAGCCATGCCCCATCATACTAGGGGAATTTAGTGAACCAAAGGTTCTTAGCAGACAGATTAAACATTTTAGTGCGCGAGAACAAATAAAGGGGCGCAGACCGCTATTACTCTAAGCACTCCAGAGGGAGAAGGTAATAGCGACGCTGAACTGAAAGGGTTCTTAGCCTTGACAAAAGAAAGACCCACGTCATAAGGTAGCGAAAAACCTCCTCTTTTGAAACATCCCCGTAATCCGACTGCCAGGCGTGACCGATGGTAAAGCGGTGAAAACGCAACATGTCTGTCACCGGCACCAGACAAATCGTGGCGCCGAAGAGGTCTGGACGCTGATTGGTGCAAACGCTCACCAACAGACCGCCATTACTGCCGCCCTCGATCACCAGTCTATAAATCAATTGAAGAGGAGAGGCTTTCAACAAGGTATTGCAAGTGTACTGAACCAGCGAGCATTAAAAGACCACTTTAGAGTCAAACATAAAATGAGGCTTCGCTCTACATCTACATCCCAGGTATCAAACGCGAAGTCCATCCTTACCAACATTGGAATAAGTCAGAGAAAATGTGCTTGGCATAAGTTATTGAAAAAAGCCCAATGTCTACAGCCTGTAAAAACCAATTCTATACTTACGTCTGGAAAAGTGCTAGTGATTTGAAACAGGGATACCTGTGATTCCAATGCCAGTTTTTGTTTATATTTATGCTAGCATTATTTATACGAACGCCATTTGGCCCATTAATATCCACTGAAAATACTAACTACTGGATTTCGAGTTCCAATTAATATGTCGAACATGTATGATTGGCAAAATTAATTTATCGTTATTTACTTCCATGATATTACAGTAAAGATGAGCCTTGAATAGACGATTTAACACTTAAACCCGGATAGATACAAAATAATCCATCCCAATAGCTTATGTTTGGATGGAAACAACATGAAATCGGTCAATATTTATTGATGTCAAGTTTGAGAGATATCAGTCCCTTCCACCAGAGCTAGCTTTCAGCTAATACACTTTGATTTCTAACTAGCAAAACACCTTGTGCGATCGCAACGGCCTCGATGAATCGCTATTCACAAGCATTAGCGCTACTGCATTGGTGCCGCGATGAAACTCACATTTAAAACAAAAGCGATTAAATACTCAGTAATTTTTACGGTGTGTTTAAAATGGCGACAATGCGTCTTTATAATCACCAAAGGATAAGAAAAATCGAAGTTGTAATGCTAAAGACCAGATGCCTTCGGACATTATTTTTAATTTGGTGAGGTGCAGACAATTACCTGTGCGGTTTCGTGTATTTGTTCTTCACCAAAAATTCAGCTGCGGCAATGAAATCATCATAGGAGTTTTGTTTATTCAGCACTTTTCCATCCGTGTGCCATTTTTCACCATATTCACTGTAAATGTAGAAATAGGAGGAAAATTTAGCCCCTCTACTGGTAGCTATGACATCGATGAATTGGGGATCTAAAATTCTATGACAAGAGGTTCTACTTACTTATCTTCGATATAAAATATTAACAACTATTAAGAAATTTAAAGATGCTAATAAGAACGCTTGAAGGCAATAGAGCATAACATCCTGTTACGCCACAATCACACAAAAGATGCATTACATCATATTATATCACACGTATCATGCATAATGTACGTTACAACATTACATCCATGTACATGTACACAAAAAAGCTACGCAGACACCGCTGAATAATGGAAGGCGAGTTGAATTTAGGAGTGACCCTTTCTAACCGCTTTAAGTCGAGAGTGCGCGAGAATTTAGATGGTAAATCAACGGAAATTTAACATCAATTATTTATGTGTAACAAGAATAAACAAGCAGATGGAAGTAAATGCGCAATGAACCTTACACAATCAAACAGCTCGAACAGAGAGCAATAGATTGTCAGTAGTGCATATGGGCCCATGCGCAATTTCTTAAAATACTCAGCAAGCGTTTCTTCAAGACTACACATTTCGGAGACATGGAAACTTCTTAATGTGTAGTAGCAGATAAGAAGACGCTATTACCATCCTTTAACATGAAGTATTTACAAGATCATTTGAGAAGAAAGGATATGATGTGAGTTGCTAAGGTTAATTATTGCCCACATCTACTATTACACGTATGCAGGTGGATCGCATGCGTGATCGACACGATCACACGTGCGTTTGGTCCTGGCTCGCATCGCCGCTTAAGCTGGTGAGACTAAGTCGTTGCCGAAACAAACAACTTCGTAACTAGATACAGCATGTGGAACGCTACTTTTCTATAAAACAAAGGTTATATAACTTATTTTAGTACCTTTTACTACTAGTGGTTGCGTGCACTACCCCTTCCGCCTCTGGTAGCCCAAGCAGAGGGGTTATTTTATTCCCTAAAAATAGATCCTGGTACGCTTGTGCATCGGTAGAATTTAGAGTCTTAAGCTCCAAAAAGAAATCAGCTATCAGAAAAATCTATCTCTTTTCGCCAAATGTGATGATCTTATGGATGAGTTGTTCTCTAAAGAAGGCTAAATCGGATAATACTCACCCTAACAAAGTGAGAAATGATGTTCGGTACAGACAATTCAACTAAGCCACTTGTTGGTCGATGTCAAAAAGCTCCTCATTTACACAATTCCCAAGGACGTCATGCAAATAAAGGCGTTACATTTTACGGTAAATAACTTCAAAAAATCTCCCAGAAACTGAGGTGGAAAGTGCCACAGTAAAATTGTAATTCAAAAAATAGGTAATCAGGATAAAAACGCCTTAAGCTGGACTGCTGCCACAGTCACTGACGGAAGCATCAATGATGACACAATTAAAATTATAATTACAGTAATTTTAAGTGGATGTCGGTCCCTGTGCGGCAAATTTGCTCCATTTACTTACATATCATCTACACAAGTACTTCATTAATATTGAGTCCTTCTAAACTCCATTCTTCCATTTTTTTTCAGAAAAAACTTGAATGTAATTAAAAAAGTGGAAAAGAGATGGACCTACCCCCCGCCCCGAATGTTAGCAACAACAGCAACGCCGTTGAAGTTTTGCAGAAACATGGAGTTTGTGAGACTATAGAAGGGATTCAACGAGATTCTAAAGCCTCCATAACCGTAGAGAAGACATGGTGCAGAACCGTCCGCCACGAAGTCCTTTAGTAGTATACAGGGTAAGCATGCTTTACACTGATCTTATCAATTAAATCGGGTTTGGATGACCGAAGCTCTAGAAGTACACTAAACCGAGGGATATTTCCATTTACTTAATTTGAGTATAACAGTGATTTACCCTTCGATGTAAGATAAACATGGGCACTCTGGTTCCATCCTTGCTGGAATAGAAGACTTGTTTCGCTTCAAAGCTGGAGAGATCCAAACCCTTCACTTTGGTCCGGAAAACAACCTGATGGTAAATTATGATAAAGCATTTGCTAGGAAAGTGAGGACGTACATAAATCATGGGGCAAATCTACAAAAATACCAAGGAATTATTTCGCCAACACAATTAGAAATGGATTCATTTGGAGAGCTCAAAAGTACTTCGATGAACAAACTCACATATATCTCGTAAATTAGGAAAGCTGAACGCCCAATCTAAATAACATCCACGGTCTCAATGATCGAATATTAAACGAACAACAGGTTACCGCATAATTCTGATTTACATCGAACAAAATTGGGACACCTAATGAATTGATAAGAAACAAGATTTACCACTCGAGACTTTGTAATTCGCTTCCATTTCAAACTCAGCATATCCAAATTCACCACATTTCCTCAGCTTCGCTACCAAGCGCAATATTCAAATTTGTGAAAGAACTCTTTTACTGGGAAGATAATAGAATATTATGGACAAGAATCACGAGAAATCAATAAGAATCGTGTTACATTGTTTAACTTAATCCATCAAGCAGTTTAAAAGCTCTGGACTAAGATGTTTACTCGAGGAGGGGGATTTGTGCGCAATAGCAGTACCCTCCGCACAATCCAGAAGTAGATTATGAAAAACTCACTACCATGTTACGCTTAACATTTTGTCTTCACAGCATTCTTGCCAGCAAGCGTCGTTAAAAGAGTTAATAATATGCTTGCTCACACAATCAAGGAGGGTATGATGGAAGCCCGAGAAACACTCATTTGTAAACACTTATGCGCGATATGCGTCAAATTGCATGATAAAAAACTGGCTCTTTTTTTAAGAATTTTGCCTCTTATATCATAATGGTATTCGCAAATAGCTAAAGCATACTGTACATAGGTTTGCAATGATTCAACACAAAAGTTGAGTTTACCTCTGGTTTCGCATCGGTGTCGGTCAGATCGTAAGAATAGATGATACCAGGTGTGAGAAATGAGACAAATTGGTAGAAAATCTATAAAGACAAGGCGTGTGGTTGATTTTACCATCATTAATGCATATTACAGCAGTTTTAGCAACTCTGAGGGAGCATTTTCTTGGCTTAAAAAGGGCCCTTTTTGTTTGCAAGCTAGCATGTTCATTTGTTTACATACATCGAAGCGTCAGGCATTTATTAACCAAATAAATCCAGACCACTCACAGATTAACGTAACTAATATAACTCGCAAATTTTGCAAAAAAACGTCAAGACCTGAAGGCTTACTTACCGATGCAGAAATTATGGTCTGGCAATAGAATTATTTAACAAGAGCACACTAAGTTAACTTGCCATGGTATCCTCTTTTCTTCCTGAAAATGATGATATGGAACCAACGCCAATGGGAATGTCTCGTACCTTCATACCGGTGTCCAATGAATGTACAGAAAGCTGGTGCTGTGGAAGAAACATGTAGTTAAGGTGTATTGTGGCTGAGAAAACTTTTGCTGTTATTACAAGCTATTTGATGGAATTGGCCGAAAACCGACAGGACTGGTCTATCTGGACCTCATTATTATTTTTCTTAGATTGATAGTGACGACCGATGTTATAGTTTATATTCTAAAAAAAACACCCATTCCATGAGTGTGGAATATTCGCATGGATAAAACCTCAAAATGCCTGGCTTACCTGAGGTGTCACTATGAAAAGGGATTTAAAACAAAGGAACATAAAGAACCTGAGAGAACTCCATTAGCCTGTAATGTTGCGAGTTATTTTCAAATACCAGTTCTCTTAATAATGAGAATCACAGAAGTTGAGCACTTTATTTCACCGGACTGAAACTAGTTCAACTTAGGTTTGACGACCTATGTCCTAAAAGTCAAAGTCCTTAGAAAACATCCCAAAGATTTAATTATTGTGCTAGTAGAAGTGAGTAGCAGTGTATGGTAAAATTTTAAGAAGTTACATTGTGCACTTGGCTCAACCATCTCCTAGACTTTGGAATTACAGCTGCCCAAATTAAACTTCAATCTCATGGCTTTTCCCCTGCTACGCTGCACACACGAGAAGGTTCTTTGAGTTTCAAGAAGACAGACTGGTGGGACCTGCAAACTCTGCCCGCGATTTTAAGCAAAGTTATTTGACTATTCTTCAAGCATGCTTCGCAGATTAAATGATGAACACATTTCAAGGGAAGTTTACCTTAAAGCAATCGAATCAAGTTCTGATGAACATAATCATCCTGCGACCAAATAAACCCTTTTTAAAAATATAGTGGTCTTCATTCAATGTTCCTACGCTGTTCAACACAGCCGCAATAGAATTGCGTACTTGGTGAGGGTAAAGACAAGAAATTGGTAAAATGGTTGTGCTATGCTCTACGCAAGCGTATTAAACACATCCACTAGAGTTCACATTCATGCTGTTTTGCAGTTCAATGAACGATTTTAGTTAACGACCAAAGGATCACAAATAACGAGATTTAAAGCGGTTTAAAAACGTGGAGTCACAAGTACCACCCGAGATGAGATACAAATGAGGATATATTGAATTTAACATCGAAAAACTACAATCAGTAATGGTCAAGACTTAAGCTGCACACAAGATACTTACACAAACATCCTTCATGTAGCAGACAACGAGATTCTCTCGATTGACGCAGGCTGTCCAATCGAGAAGGCAATGCTCGTTGTGAGGAATGAGATCAATCCATTTCTCCTAAAATGCGCACACCCACATTACACATGAAACTGCGTTAGAAACCCCAATATGTGAACAAGTAGTCATCGGAAGTCGTAACTCGCATGGAAACGATGTGCATTTGCACTAAATTTCACGTCAGCTAACTCCTTTCACAGAATTACTTGCATGCACTTCCATTAATAGTGCTTAATCATAATCTACCCGACGACAGACTTAATGCTTCCCGACCATGTAAAACAATAAGATACTTTAAGAGACTGTCTACGTCCATCATAGCGATTTCTGATATGCAATATAGTAGTTCGAGAGTAAGCCAATGTGCAACCTAGTACGTTAGTTTAAATGCACATTTTATCAGCATGAGGCCATACTACCAAACGGATCATCTATTTGAATTAGTGCACAAAAGGGAATATCTTCCACGAATTAAAATACAACAAAGGAAATTTTTAATCAAGTCTCTAATATCGTTTATTTACATGCACACACCCATCATTTATATCGGTAGTTTATTATGCATGCGACAGATGATTTGAGCGTGAACTTTATTTTATGAATAAACTGCAATTTGGCTAGAATGAACTCACACGATTGAGATCATCCAGATTGATTGCGATAAGTTTAAACATGGGAGCGTTGAGATCCGTCTGAATGATAACCTTGCGACCATCGTTGGTTATATAGTCAAAGACCGCTTCGAACTTGTCCAAAATGGGCGTCAAATTGAGCTTGCCTAGAGAACGTCGGGGTACACTCAAATCCACCAAATACAGAAGAAATAAAGGTGGAGGAAAACTAACCGGTGATGTCATAATTAATCTTCTCCAAGTCCACAAAGTAGAGAAGATTGTTGCAATCACAGCCAGCGTGAACCGTGATGAAGACGTAGCGACCACAGTCAGTGACCTCAGCAGAACTAGTTGGTGAAAAATAAGTCTCTTAATTGATAAGGAGAGACTCAGTTGGAAATGAGGTAAAAAAGACTGTTACTGACCTTAATAACTTGGGATTGTCTGGCCACTCAACACAGAGAACGTCCTCCGACTGTGGCTGTCCCAAGCGGTGGTACATGAGCTTCTGGTTCTCGTTGGAATCGGTCTCCGTTCCATCAGCGGTTAAAGCTGCATCAGGATAACACTGGAAGTAGGATCGAAACGGTTAGAACAATTATACTATTTTGAACGTCTTGTCACCATCCAAGGCGGGTGTAATACATACATAATGCTAGTTTTTTACCAGCATATGTAGTGGCCACCACAGTTAGATATTTGTGCACGAAGCATTCGATAGCCTAAAATGTCTACCACATCTGAGAATTCACTACGGAACCATAGAACTCAAGAAGATAGTGAAATTTTTTCGGTTAGGATATATCTAGCACGAAAAGTGTGTCGATGGTAAGAAAACTTCCACTAAATTCAAAAACCCTCACATTGGTAGTAAGCTCCGTTAAAGATGAGAATGGAAACCGGGATGGATGATGATGTCCTGTGAACGATCACTGGGAGAGGACTATTCCCGAGACACATGACACTTAACATTTAAAATACTTTTTTCTTTTCGGATGGGATGGCAACGGCATTAATTTTACCTCCGCTGGAGTTCACAGTGAAGCACTTCAATGCTTCCCATTCTCCTATTTACTGCATTTGTCCTATAGCGTCTTTATTTTAGATTTGAATACTAAAAGTGCGCAGCAAACCCTTGCAATAGTACAGCACCAAAAACGTGACTGCTGTTTAAGATCTTAGCACATAAAAATATGCAGCTAAATTCTGCCAAGTATTCTGATATTCCGTCAATTTTTTTGGAAGAATTATTGCAGATTAAGATCTTGTAACCAAGGTTATTTGCGGTAATGCTCAATGGGCGCGAGATAATTCCGAATAAGTAAACAGAATAACGTTGTTGCGGGACAACAAAGAAATCGCTATTATTTAATAAGAGTGCACCAAAACAAATAGACAAAATTGATATGAGGGACCATGAATAACTGAGCAATAAAAAATTCACCAAATGAAACTAGGTATGTAGACCTACTACTTACGCCGTAGAAAAAGCCCTTGTTATCGATTGTCCAATTGATATGAGGAAATTTGACGCGTTCTATTTTGTCCTCCAAGTCTTCACCAGTAGCTACCTTTCTTACCTACACAAAGAATTAACACACTGAATAAAAGCTCTGAAAGGTGATAACCAGATGCTTATGGTTGATAATTTAATGAAACTTACCCGGATCGTGACCCAATCAGAGCCGGCATTACTCAGACCATAAGCAAAATATTCACCATCCTTAGAAAATCCATAGGCGTTGAGAGAGACTAAACCATCTTCAGAGAAGGCGTTTGGATCGAAAAACACCAGAGGCCTCCCTTTCAGATTATCCATAACATAAAGCACACTAAACACACAAGGTGTCGAGTCTAAGAGTTCGGAAAAGGAAGCATACGGTTGATTTTGCAGACCGCTGTTATAAAAGTAGAAGTATCTCTGTCCGCGTTTGAAAATGCATTGATATTTCTCATAGTCCCATAATTCGGCAATCCTGTGTGACACTGAGAACCAGAATAGTCTCACTTGGATCTGATTTGTTCTCTATAAGGACAAGAATTAAGGTAAAGGTTTGTAGTAGCATTCTGCGCGTCTACGAACGCCCTGGTTTTGTCGGAATCGGGATTTTCCAGCCATCGGTAGGGGTCGGAGACCTATTAAGGAGGTGCAATATAAGTCACTACATACAGATCATGCCAGAAGCCTAGTGTTCAGACTGCCAATGCTTTAATACACAAGTTGGAGTCAAGATTAGTAAAGGGATAAGTTTAACACACGATAAAAATAAAATAACCGAACACACCCAAATGCTCATAACTTAAAAAGGACAATTTATTGGCAGGGTACCATGTGGTATAAGCACGTCCATAAGAATCAAACGACAAAAAACAGGAAAGTTCACTGACATGAAATCGGGATTTTCTACGTGGAAACTCCCATTCATACTGTTTCAGATGCACATTGAAAATGTGCCTCACTTAATGGACCATACGACTCAATATGATTCAGTACATTCGCACCGAAACAGAAACATACTTTTAAGCCGAAAAAGTCATCAACCACAGTATCATCCTTGTGAAAAACAGGATAGTCCCCGACCATGATTATACGGAACAAACAACAATCAACGCAGGATGGACAAACCCAACAATTAATAGAATCAAACGACCTTGAAATGCAAAACCGTTGCATATGAAAAGCTACGTCTCTAAAATTATTCCTACAAATATAATGTTAACAAGGAGATTTTACTTGGTATTTAAGCGGCCTAAAGAGGTAGAAGAAAGGCGCAGGGAGTACGCACTTAATTTGCACAAAAGTGGATAAGAACCACTTAAACGCATGTATTGCAAGACATGCCTCGATAAGTGTCACCTAGAGATAATTTTGTAAAATGACTAACTGGTTTGTCTAACTTCAGCTTTTAAACACATGGGCGATTAAGGCTTCCGGACCATGACTGTAGCCTTTAAACACTTCCTTATATGAGGGACACATTTTCTTTTTTGCTTTAGAAAAGACGCAATGTAGTGACTGACAGCATCCCTATGTGTAGATAAAGATGTATTATACGGGCAGAATTTATATACATGTATATATGTGTTGCGTCCTGAGACTCCCCGAAGACAAAAGAAGACACAATACTTGGGCAGAATATATATTCAGCGCAGAGAAGGTGTCTGGGCCATTGGCATGGCCTGAAAGGCCAGCCCACCCAACGAGGCACAAGAAGGCTAATTCAAAGTACAAAAGTGGCGCCTCACCAATACCGAGGGATAAACCACTATCGTGTTACATATGTAACATACAGAAGGGAAGGGGCTGCTGGCATGGCACAGAGGTCAGCCCACCTGGCGAAGTACAATGGCCAAGACACAAAGTGGTTCTTTACCAAAACTGAGATTGAACAGCCAAAGTATTATATGGCCCCTCTCCTCCTTTAAAAGCGTCATCCCCCGGTGCTCCCATTGGTCAACCTCCTGTGTCAGCCATCATAACGTAGTCGGCACTGTGGGAAAACACCCGCCTGCCAACCGCACTGTTCAACGAATATCCATGCCACTGAGGCGATATTTAACCACAAAATCAGCGAGCCACAGCAATTCTGCTGGATGTGGAGTTTCGTCCTGTTTGGGAACTGGATTCGGGAAAGTAAATTGCTCCGACAATCACGCGTGTCCATACCTAGATGCTAGAACACTGATAATAAAGGCTGTTTTATGTAAGGGAGGAC